TACCATTTTTTACTGAAATTTGATATTTACATTTTATAAGGGAGTTTTATTTATTGGATGAATTTAAATAAAGTCTTAAGTTTTCTTTGTAAAGAAACACGCACTGTCAATGATAGAATTTTAGAGGTAGTGAATTGCAGTTGCACTTTTTAAAATGCAAAGTTTTTATCTTGTGTTCTCTAAGTGTATAAGACTGATCAATAATGAAGAGGAAATTTTCATAAAATCACAATATCTTTCAGATGGAATTTATAATATTTTAGAAGAGAAAGAAACACATCATACACAGATAATATTTGGTAAGGTGCGTATAACACTATATAAATGTTTCTCTGTACTTGAAACTATATTTCTATGTATATAAAGACATGATTTAACAAAGTTGCTTACTGCTTGAGGGACTTGATCATTTCTTTAGTATTCAAACCTAAGGTTAGAAAAAACCCGACAACATAAAATATTCCGTTCAAATTATTTTTTTATATGTATTATCCTAGTTTGTGACTTTTTTCAAAGTAAAACACTGTCCGTGTTTGCTGTTGATAAGGCACTTAGTTCTCACGTTACCCAGTCATTATGTATATAGATGAAAGAAAATGGGTACAAGTTGTTGATGCAACCTACTATATAGATATGTGCCTTGATTTAAGCATTAAGCTTGTGTTTTGTTTATGAGCAGAAATCCCTTTACTTATCGAGACAGTTATATAAATATACTTATGATAATTATATATGTATATGGAAAAGATATAATATATACGTATATGTGTATGTTATTATATATGCGGGTTTAAAATTTTAAAATGTTCGTAAACGCCTGTGACTGTGTAATTATCTTAGAATGCAGGGAAGTGGCGGGAAATATGCGAAAAAAAGAATGTATTAATTTTTATGCGTTTCTGAAAGAGTAAGTCGTTGAAATAGAGAAGAAGAGAGAAACGAAAGAAAATTGAAATATCTATACGAATATTTATATCGGAAACCGTGCGTGAGTTAGCGTCTGTCAGAGCAAAGACGACGCAGGCTATACTTTACCGATAAAGTCAGCTTGTCTGTGTATATTTTGCGTGTCACTCATAAAACGAAAGGTAAACAAAATTAAATCTGGAATCAATGCAGTGATTCGTATAACTACGCCGTGATCGATTGACTAGTAAGTAAATAAATAGATATAAAGAAATTAATCTATATCTATGCAAATATGTGTATAAATCGGAGATATAATCAGAACAAAGAACAATTCAACAGAAATAAACAAATAAAATAAAAGAATCAGGTAGTGATATAAATATAATTACTCTAAATATGTTAATTACTCTAAATAATTTTACATAAGTAAGAAATTATTTAATGTATGCTCGCAAAACAATTTAAAATTAGAAAAACAAATTATATATAATTTAGGCTCTACTTATGTATTGAGCACTCTTTTTAAAAAATAAAAACAAAAGTACTAAAGAACTTTCGGATTATTTAGCTAACGTGTTCTTTCCTATTTTTCTATATATTTGCACACACACACACACATATATATATATATATTTGCAAATATATAGCGATATAGATAACGATTGATAGTTAAACATGCAATGCAAAATGACAAACGGGTAAAAATAAAGAATTTTCTGTTGGTATATATATATATATGGATGTAGGTAAATGGAGAGACAGAAGAAAAAGTAAAAATGAAGGAAAGAGAGAAAAGAGTCTTAAATCTTTGAAAAGAAAGTTGATGTCGTGAAAGTAATGGGATGGAAAGTTATTTTTTTCAAAGTGTAAATGAACTTTATTTCAAAGTTTATCCGAAATGAGACGAATTTACCCGTAAATTGACGATTTTGTGTTTGTGTGTTTGTCGGAACGTGCTTTTGTTTATTTACTGAGAAAAGGCACGAAAAAAGCCGGGAACGACAACACAGAGCAAAGATTTTAGCGGGAAAACAAATCAAGAACGAACATTAGATTAGATCTAGAAGTTCATGTAATTTTATGGTTGAAAATATTGAACTAAGATCAACGCGTCTGCCAATAAAGATTGACTGAATATGCGTTCATTTTACTTAAACGAAATGATTTTAGAATTTCTTAAAAATTGTATTTGTGGCAGATGATTCTCAGTAGACAATTACTGTCAGAAAAGAATGAAAATTAACTTAAGATAGACAGACAGTAATTTATTGCGCTTAGGTTGGGTTTGGTGTTAGATCAAATTTTATACAACACCCGGTTTAGATTGAACATGAGATCAATGTTTGCGAGATTAGCTCGTTAACAGCTGCCCTATTACAGATGCTGAAAGAAAGAATGATACATAAATGGGAAAAAAGTTAAAAAAAAAATAATAAAGAGTTAAACAGTAAAGAGAAAATGAGATGGAACAAGTTGGCGGTTGCAGTACACTGGAATCGTGTTTATGTGTGTTAGAGAAATAATTAAAAAAGAAGTTAGCAAGTATAGAATGAAAAAAAGAAAATAAAAACAGAGAAAGATAGAGAAATGTCTATGTGAAAGAAGGAGGGAGTAGAATAAAGAGCAGTTAATGAATCGGGAGACAGAGAGAGAGAGAGAGAGAGAGAGATAGAATTATTAGGTAGATTTGATAAAAAAAGAATGAGATGAAATTGTGATGATTTTTTTAAGGTAGTAGGAAAGTCAAAGAGGAAAGGATTAAGAGAATATTATTAGACAGGAAAACTGAGAAACAAGGTGAAAAAATTAATCAAATTATTAATAGGGAGATTTAAAGAGAAAAAGGAAGAAAACAAAAAAAGAAGCACTTCATTGTGAAGGAGTCGTAAGTATTATTTGTTTGTAACAATATTGTAGATTAAAGTTTTTAAAACTCGCCCAATGGACGAAATTTTCTAACTCAATCGATGGACGAAATTGTCTAACGAGAATCGGTAAAAAGAAATATGTAAGAATAGTTATAAAAAGGTAGAAATCTATATGTATATATGTGTGGCACCTATACGCAAAGAACCAGTGAATATTAAATTTAAAATAAGAAATTAAACATATAAAAGAATTGAAACCAATCGAAAAAAAATGAAACTTATTATCCTAGTCCAGCTTTATAATACTTTCAGTAGTTTAAATAAGATAAAATTGAAGATCAAAAGAAAGGAATTAAGAAATAGATATAATAAAAGCAAAATAAATAAAATCAATAAGTGATTGTGAAGATAACGGCAGTTTTAAGTACTCGAGAGATAAAATAAGATTGGAGAAAAAAAAAACATTAAAATACCAATAATAATAATAATAATAATAATAATAATAATAATAATATAAAGGCACTGATTATATATATTCTTTTTTAACAAAAACAAAATAAAAAAAACAAAAACAAAAACGGTGTTATCCGTGTAAAAAAATCAAAATTGTTGATCAGAGAGCAAAAAGCTCGGTCCGTAACATTGGTTAGTCCTTATAAGAAGTTGATGGCGGGACATGATTTCTTTTACTGTTCCTTTTATATGTATCCCTTGGTTTCGTTTTCCTTTTGCGTCCTGGTATTTCTATAACCTTGCAAAACCCAGAACAAATTCTTATGTTATTTTTTATTTTTCGTATTCTTCCTTGCCTTAAGGTAAATATGTTTCACTCTGTAAATTTTGTATATAATTTTGCCAAAAACTCAAGTCGATGTAGAATAGTAAATTAAGCAGTCGACAAAATCGGAGCGTAATAATTCCGAAACTGGTCAGCTTTGACAGAATGTGTCGTGTGCTATAGCGAACGAAAAAGTACAGACCGTACGGAGGGGAAGAAACAGTAGCGTAACGTACCGTAGTGTTGCGTACTTGTGTGTAGGCTGTAAAGTCTTGTCGACTGTATGCTGATTTGTTGTGTTCTGTCTGTTGTATATTGAAATATGGACGTACAAAAGACGGGAGGGGTGGTGGTAGAAATAGAGAGTGAGAGATAAAATGAAGATGGGGTGGGGAAGAGGAAAGAGTAGGTGTACTTCTATGGCTACGAGTCTTCGATTATTAATATTTATGTGCGCATATGTAGGTCTGTTTCAAAGCAAAAGCATGCATAAAACTGCGCTTTTTCGTTTGAGACACCAAATTGAGCAAAAACGAACGAGCTTGTACATCAGCCTAGAAATCTTTGCCATGTTCTATAGAGGTGGGTGTGCATTTAAATATATATATATATATATTTCTGTTAACCTTATGGGGTTTGCCTTATAGGCAATTGAAGTCATTATTTTCAGCCATGGTAGGTAATTTTTACATACAAGTCTGAATTGACTCCACCTCAGGATTGAACCTTTTTGTAAGAATGAGACGTTATAGTCACTTTTCAGTTATCTGGTAGGAGAATATAATGGCTTACACGCACAACCAGTTAAATCACAAAACCCACAACTGGCTAAGTCGCCAAACCGGCTAAGTAACAAAACACAGACCAAGTCAGATGTGGAATGAGCAAAATAAGACCATCTCTGGGTTCAGGACAAAAGTCAAGTGACAGAGATCAAAACCAAAATAAACAAGTTCGTAGTCATGAATATTACATAAACAATTTTATTTTGAAGATCAAAGTATTAAAATCAATTAATCTGCTGGTTTGAAATTCAAATATTGCTCACGTACTAATAAGTAAAGTATGATCTTTTACATACCAAAGTTAGTGAAGAACGAATTTTGCGTTTAGTTGAGCAATCTCGAGCCAAGCACATAACAGATTTGCATCTCTGTAACTAAATTAAACTAAATTCAAACTTGAGTATTTTCCCGTGTCTATTGAGGACAATGAAAATATAAATTTAGGAATTAATTATCAGGGTGAGGGATATTAAAACATTACACTGATTTTGTGCTGCATTTTTTAATCATTTCAACCCAAGTAAAGTAAAAAGCCACTAAAAAGCAAGGATAAAAGAATCTGAGGAAAGCATTATTGAAAAGTGAGGACAATAAAAGAACGGGACCCAAGGAGACAGGAGATGACGATTTTTGAAGATCGAAGTTGAAAGGAAAGGCTTACAGTCACATCACGTTGAAACGCCGGTTCCTGTACGATCACCGAAGTTAAGCAACGTCAAGCCAGATCACTACCTTAATGAGTAACCGCTTGAGAATATCAGATGTTGTAATCTTGAATTTGCGAGTGGTGTAACGGATAATGGCTAGGAATTGTTAATCAGAGAGCCGAGTTCCAATTCCAGTTTGGTTTGCTATATTCACTTACCCTTGGGAAAAGTATGAATCCACCACTTCTCCTACTAGCTATGGGTTAATTAGTAGGACATATCACTAAACCACTATTATCTCCAAAAATAAAATAAAATTGCATACAATATATTGGGATTTTGGTATTAAATAACCCATAGAGGTGTTGATATGTCACTAAACAAAAACAATGAAATACTGACAGGAAAACAAGACACCGGAAGAGAGTCACACAAAGTAGAAATGTTAGCATGGACTTTATAGTTACATCTAGCAATTTTAACTATATAAAATGATGAGACCTAGCTGCCAAACTAGTACGGCGCTTAAATTGTTGAAGTGAAGCTACTAAGGAAGAAAGCTCATATGAGCACAGGGAAGCTACATTATGGCGGTAGGAAAGTAACTGGAGCCGAGATACCAGGTTAGGACCGATTACATTACACGTTTCTCTTTGGATTTTGTCACAAGAATACAACAATATTCGATGCACCAATGAATAGCAGGTTTATAAAGGTACAAGACAGATCATGGTGAGAAAAACTGTCTAGTATGACACAGTGAAACACATTTTCCTAGCAGCCGACCGAACAGTTGATTTAATGTCATCATTCTACTTCATATCAAAGGAAAACATTAGCCGAAGAAAGAACAATGATTTACTATACAAATATTGTTTCTAGTTTAGCATTGACCTTACATTAAATGTTTTGTTTAAGAATATCGAAATCAAATGATTCAGGCATTTGAAGTTTGATTTCTGACAGTCATCGATTTATTTTGACCGTAGAGATATTTTCAGAATTAGATATTTTACTGTTTTGCAAGATGTTTATTAAAAAATGGGAAACTATTCAGCCTAATTATCTCAGGCCAGAAATACAGGAATTGAAGCATTGATAATTTAAAAAAAAATCATTGTTTATTGATGTCAACAAAGGAATTTAATAAAAGCTGTGGGAGCACTTCATTCTCTCCATCCTTTTTACTTCTATGACATTATTCCCGTGTAATTCGTCATTTCGTCGATGTTCGGATTCCCTCGTGTGTTTGTGTCAATTATTTATCTTCTTTCTCTTCTGGGTCCTGATTTCGTTTTCATTATCGAAAGCAGCTTATTCAGTAAAGTGTGGGAGATATCGCATAGAAATAGACGAGTTGCTACATCACCGGAAAATACACACGCACACACACACAGACACACACACATATATATATATATATATATATATATATATATATATATATATATATATATATATATGAATGAAGACAAAAGGAAAACTTATCTTAGCCGACGAGTTTTGGCCTCTGAGGGATTTTATTTTGCATAAAATCCTTGCATTTGCATTCATAAAGTCCCTCGGAGGACGTAAGACGTCGGTTAAGATAAGTTTTCCTTTTGTCTTCACTCATATTGACGTTTTACAAATATACAATATATAAATTTTTACACACACTCACACACACACACGCACGCACACACACACACACGCACGCACACACACACACATATATATATATATATCAATTTCAGATTAAACAGAATACAGATTTAAGTTTCCGATTACACTATAATTTTTGTTCGTAGGCCTACAAGTTAGGGTTAAGTTAAATGTGTCCTCAATCTTCCAATAAGGTATATGTTCTTTACATCTAAATTTTGAGAGCATAGTATCTTGTCACTGGTTGTCACCTTTGTTCAAATGCAAGAGTCGGCTCGGGAGTGTCACTTGAACCTCTGGAGAAAAATGACGATCTTTGCCCTGGCAGTAAACGGTGATCGAGTCCCACAACTCTTCTGTTTATATTTTAGAAACAGACAATAAATCACTGTAACTAGATTTTTAAAAACATTACTTTTTCCCTCATTTTACTGTTAATCTATCATCTTTTCCGGAAATGTGATATTCAAAAAGTCAGTTTATGGATATTTCTCCTGATCTAATTCAAAACGTAAGGCCCTCAACTTATGTCCTAATTTCGGGCTATCCTTTTAAAGAGTCAGTCGATAAAAATCCACCTACTCATAGTTAATATTGTTAAAAAGTCAGCTGGGACATCTTTAATTTCTTACTTTTTTAACATTTAGATTATGGATTAAATGGTAAAATGGCCATCTACTGCTGGCTTGTAAAATCCTAGTTACCTTAAAAGAGTTGGTTTCTATGGAACCATCTCTTTTTCACACACTATATTAATGTCTATGCGAATCTACAGTGAAAAATGTTCAGTTCTATAAGGCCGTTTGTTAGGAATCGATGGACCATTTGTAGCTTAATATAATCAGGATTAAGAAAAAATCCGCTGGTAACACTAGTCCTTGTCGGAATTCTTAATCTTAAGGAAAGATTACTTTGAGTAAATCTTTTTGATGGTTGACCAGCTGTTAATATGAGGAATCCTTTTCACTTAGATTTTTGTCAAGATCAAATTCAGAATATCGTACTTGACGGCCCATAAAAAAGCATCCTTTTAAAGAAAAATATCAATATTTTATGGTATTGGTATTATGGATAGGAGGTTGAGTAACTGAAGTCTATCGAGCTGTGCAGCTTGAGAATCGGGATGAGTGGCTTATAAAACAGGCAGTTAATATTGTACTGCAATTTATGAGAAAAGAATTATTTTCTAAGCATCGTTTAAAACACAGACACATGAAATAGATAATAATATCCGAATTAATATATGATAACAATATTCATAAAATATGATATATGAATAAAAATATTTATACTGATTAAAGATTGAAAGATGTTTCTATTTCTCAAATTATTTTCGCCCCCACCCCACAAAAAATCTGTAATCTCTATGCCAGTGGCTCCAACTGTTCAAATGTGGGCCACAAAAAATAAATTATTATTATTATTATTATTATTATTATTAGTAGTAGTAGTAGTAGTAGTAATAATAATAATAATAATAAACACGGCCCGACAGAGTGAGCTGGAAAATCTGCAACACTTATGAAAAGGAAACTGCAAGAAATTGGTAAAGAACACCACCCAAACAATTTTATGGGACTTTACAATACACACAGACAGAACAAAGCTAATCGCCCTGACATCGTGATTAGAGACCTCTTTCTTGACATGACAGTCCCTGCAGACTGGAATGTATCTTTAAAGATCTGCAAAAAACTATTAATATAAGGACCTTGGAATCGAAAACTCAAAAATATGACGCGTGAGGACATTAACAATTCTAATTGTAGTTGGAGCTCTCGGATTGATTGGAAAAGATTCCAATAGTTCCTTGAAGAAATACCTTGTAGCCCATGCCTTAAAGAAATACAAAAAAATTGTACACACAAGTACTGCTCAAATATTACGAAGGGATTTACCTATGTAAAATATGTGTGATTTTTTTTTTTCGAAACAGCTCAGTGGAAAATGTCATGATGCCATTTCTGAGCTTAGGTCTCTGGTCGGGACCGGGTAAAAAAGAGCATACACCAGAAACTAAAAGAAGTAATAATAATAATAATAGAGTATAGTTCCATAAAAAATTGGAACATAAATCGTGATTGAGAATCTGGAAGAGGAAAATAATTGTGAATAATAAAGAACTGGTAAATGTATGTAATGTTCTAATGTGTTTCATTCTGTTCACAATCAATACTTTTTCGTTGCAGCCTCAAACAATCACAATATCGTTTTTTACTTTATTCTAGCTTTGATGCTTTGGATGTGTGTGATAAACACGTGAAACATTGATATTACGTTGTGCCTTTGTTTTTCTTCAATCAAGAAATATAAAGATTTATTGATAAAGTAATTTCGGTTAACCTACTGGAAAAAAACAAAACATTATGAACGTCACTGAAACTGTGTTTCTGTCGATTGGGTCACAAAGCAAAAAAAAAAAAAAAAAAAATGACAAAATTCTGTATCCAGGGTCGAAGCCTCCAAAATTCAAGAAACTTTAGTGACTAGATCCATAGCTTAAGAATTTCCGATTTAATTTGGAATTTATCATCGAAAGAAAAACAAAAACCTTATGTAGCAGTGGATACTAAACAATTTCCTCATAAATGGGATATGAGGCAATAGAAATGTGGTTCGACAGAAGGATGTTGAGAATACCATGGACAAAGCATGTGAGCAACGAGAAAGTTTTAAGGAAAATGGAAGCAAATGTTCACGTATATTCAGAATCCGAAAAAGATAGTTGAAATTCCTCAGACACATAATGAGGAAGGGGGACATGGTAAATTTGATACTCATAGGACATATCTAAGGCAAAAGGATTGGAGAAGCAGCGGCCCACTTACCTTACAAGATTTATATGAATAGATGGCAAAACGGAGAGTAGGAGATATGGTAAAGAGACAAACATTATTCAGAGTTACAAAGGATAGGAAGTTGTGGATAGCCAGGATCATCAACGGCACATAAAAGAAGAATAGTATTCGATTATTTGTTCATCCATATTGTTTTAAAATGAAAACAATATTTTATATTTCTTTGATATTTTTTAATCAATGCACTCCAAGCAAGGCGATAATGCCACTAAGATGCAAGGGGCTACTGAGAATTAAAGGGAATGAGAAGACTTTAAAAGGAACCTGAAACCCTAAATCCTAAACAGGATACAAAAGCTAAACCTCTACATCTGATGAGATCATTAATTTAAACAGGATAAAAAAAACGCACAGAACCTGAGATGAGAATTCTAAACAGTATATATATTTCTAGACACACACGAGGAAAAACGGAAGTAACTATTTTTCTCTCGCAATCCTATATCTTTTAATTGCCTTCATAAAAAAATAAGACGAGATCGTTTAATCTAGACATTAAAAATGGAGCTATTCGATTAGGCTTCTATCTGAGATGTCAAAAATGAAGTGACAAAAAGCGATTTGAATGATTTATATAAAGCCACGAAAAGTTCTATAATATAAAACATTAGATGACTTAATA